AGCCCCCAGAACTGACCCCTGTCCCATAAGTACCCCATAACTGCCCCATAGCCGCCACCATCTTCTTCAGCAGCCACCTCTCCTACTGCCGCCTCGCCAGCTCCCCCATAACCCCACCATAACTGCCCCATAACCCCCCCATAACCCCCCCATAGCTACCCCATAGCTGCCCCCTAACCACCCCACAGCCGCCCCATAGCTACCCCATAGCTGCCCCATAGTCGCCCCACAGCCCCCCACAGCCGCCACCTTCTCCTCCAGCAGCCACCTCTCCTGCTGCCCCCTCGCCAGCCGCTGCAGCAGTTCAGCCGCCTCGGCCGCCGACAGCTCCGCCCCGGCCACGCCCCCCTCGGGGCTGCCCCACTGATTGGCCGGGGGGAGAAAGGGGGCGGGGTCAGGTGGGGACCACCCTGCTGGGGGAACGCTCCTCTCTGGGAGGCCCTGCCCCCACAGGAGCCGCCCCTGTGATGGGACCCACCCCCCGGGAGACCCCGCCCACAGGAGGCCCCACCCTCAGGAGGTCCCCGCCCCCAAGAGGCCCCGCCTCTGGGGGGCTCCGCTCCTCCAGGCCCCACCCCCTTGGGACCACCAACTGTCCCCCTCAGGTATTGCAGAGATGATGGTCATCAAGGTCCTGCCCCCTGCTAAACCCCGCCTCCTCCCAAGCCCCGCCCATCACTCCCCACCTCCCACTGCAGTCACACCCATCCCTTAAGCCCCACCCACTCCCTCCCAACCCCCTTAAGGGTCTTTCAGGAACGGGGCATGGTCTCATTGAAGCCCATCTTGTAGCTTTCAATGCGCGGTGTGGGGTGGCCACGCCCACACTGGGTGTGGCCAACAGGCCAAGCACCCCCCCATAGGCTGGGCATTGGGGGAGGGGGCATGGCTAACCCCACCCCACCCCCACAGGGGGTGTGTCCTATGCTCGACCCCACCCACCTGGACACTGCTCGGGGCGGGGCCGTCGCGGCCGCTGCCCGACGAGAGGCTGCTGCTGTCGGCGCCTTCGGCCTCCTCCACGCCTGCCAATTTGGGGCAAAAAACGGTRATTTAGGGACATGGCAATGGGGAGAGGGCCCCGGGGGCCCCCCCTTATCCCCCCTCAAGTTACAGCCCCCCCAGTATCCCCACCATCGCCTCCGATGCTGCCCCATTATCCCTAACTACCCTCTGTGGCCCCGCCCCCCAGGCCCCACCCCCCCCCAGGCCCTGCCC